GCTGAATACCATGAACAAAAATCAACAGGCTACATAAAAACTGGACTCTTTAAGAGCTGTTTGTGTGCAAAATAGAACTGCATGATTCTGGATAAATTTTTTTTTTTTTTTTTTTTTTTCCCCAATGGAAGTTGTGGTACTCTCATGATTCTGAAGAAAAAACATTAGACAACTATCACATGTAAATGACAAAATCACATGTCATTTATGAATGAATAATTCACTCAAGGTGTACTTGTTTCATTACTGGATGAATCAGCGTTCTTGAACGAATCTCTTGTATGATTCAAAGACAAATACATTTTAACAGCCCCTTTTCGCCACCTATTGGCATAACAATGTAATCGATAAATCTTCATTTGAAGTGTCAATATACTTTCAAAAGGTGATTTACTCTATTTTAATCGCTACCATACACATCGTGCACACAGTTTATATCTGAACTATAAACTTTTATCCCAGTACTTCTGATTTGAATGTTTGTAACACCGAAATAATGATACTGTGTGGCTGAAAAGACTGTGAAGCGGTTTCATTCATCACAGATGACAGCTGCTCTCTTTAGGTCAGTGGCAGTGTGAACGCAGATTTAAATACTCAAATCACACTGGTGTGATTATGCGCTGCATGGACGAACCAAGTGATCACAACATTGATCGCACACGTCAAAGGTTGAGGAATGAAACAGACGAATCATTGTGACTTAGGAATAGAATCACGTTAGAGTTTGAATCGTGTTCGTGATCTTTAACGATCTATTAAAGGGGTGGTTCAGGGCGGTGATACATTTTGGTAGCCCAACTGGAAAACACAATAGCCCCGAGACGTCGGGCTAGCGATTTTCGAGCCCTGGAGTTGTAATGTTTAATAATTTATTTTATTATGTAAATAATTGTTTGCATTGATAAAGTATATATTTTTGTTTGTATATGCTGTCAATTATAGTTATTAGAAGGAAAATCGGAAAATCAGTGGAAAATCACACTGACAGAAAAATTGGAAATCGGAATCAGCCAAGAAAATTGCAATCGGTGCATCTCTACAGTATTCATTTTATGATTCATATTCATTATATATTACAGTAAAAACATATTATAGTTATGTATCAACTGACATGGTTCCCTGGACAGTTTACCGCTATTTATAGCTTTTTTCCTTATGAAAAATTAATGTACTGTACCTGATATGTACTGGATGTGAAGTGATATCGAATTGAATCAAGATAAGAATAAAAAAAGAATCAAGAGCCTGTGAATCAAATTGATTTGTGATTATGTTTCACTGCTTAGCCCTAATGAAAAGAAGAAATCAAAACAAAAAGTATTTCTGCCAAAAACAAATGCCAATGTGTAGAAAATGTATAAGTCCTGATGTAATGGCCAAAATATAAAAGGCTTATTGATATGACAAGAGGGAGCCAGTGAAGTGGCGTGTTCAGACAAAGAGCAACATTTCTAGCAGCTACTGGTCAATAATACGCTGTTTGCCGACAGTCTGCAAATGCAGAACTTCAACTAGACACAGCTTCTTTGTCATATGGTAACATCTAGACTTGTGTAGTGTACCGCAAATCGTGGGCTCCCCCTCCTCCACAAACCATGAGATGGGGCCCTATCCACAAGTAGTGACGTCATGCTCAAGCGATGTAAATGTTAAACCACTCAAATAAACCATGATACAAACAAGACGGACACAATTCTTGAATGGAACGCTGTTCTCTAATCTTTCCTTTGCTTCACAGGGAAGCAGTTAGACTGACAAAGGCTGTCTTCACACTTCACACCGCTCAGTCATGTCATTCAGCACAGTTCTCGTTTTCCGTGTGAATCAATAATAAACATTCAAATGTGTGATGTATTGATTGTTTCTTGCTACTCTAAATACGTTTAGGCTGCATATAGTGTACTTGATGCTTTTATGTGACTTCTGTGGGAAGCAGAATCATTCTACATAGCAAATTTAAGCATAATAAAATTGACTGTGAGTGGCATTTAGGGTCAGGGTCCCCACTCACTGTGGGGCTGCTAGGGTGTCTTGTATGCCTGTGTGTGTAGCATGAAAGCCTACAGCATGAAATATACATCTATAGCACCTTGGGTTAATGACCTGTCACTTTTATTCTGTATTTTGATGGATGCTGTGATCTGTGATTAAGTATGGAAAAGTATTCTCAGCATGGACTCATTAATCACTATGTAGCAAATGACACAAACATTCATATGCAATTTTCTTGAATATCTTAACATTTTAGACTCTTCATGCTTGTCCCAATTGCATGTTTCTTACCCTAAAAAGCACATACTACTCAAACACGACAGACACAGCAGGCTTTTATGAATGACAGATTGGGTACTGTAATGAAAGCTCTCTACAGCCAGTGTTTAGAGAGGGAGTGGGAATGCTGTGAATTATGATGCCTTTCTTCATGTCAGGGGAAGCAGAGGGGGGCTGCAGTCTTTGAGCCCGCTCCAAATTAAACACAAGCGGATAGTTGACTCTCGCACGACTGCGGCTATCCCGTTTCCATCTGCAGCCGTCTGCTGTGGGAAAGCTGTAATTACTCAGCGTGTGGAGTCACTAACTTTACCCTTGCACTCTCAAGTCTGCTTTACACATACAGATGTATGTATAGTGAGACACTGTCACATGTAGACACCGAGAAGACATTGGAGCATAAAACAATCAGCCAACATGAAGTTCACTGTGGATGCTGTGACAGACAGATAGATAGATAGATAGATAGATAGATAGATATTTCAAATATTTGTATTTCCTTGTCCTTGTTGGTTATGTAATATGATGAAGTGTAATGTTGTGAATTAAAAAGTGTCACATTTCTAAGAATGTGTGGCGGTTTGCTATGACAATATTCAGCTTCTGTGCCCCAGTGTTATTTTGACAGCAAATTTTGATTTAGTTCTAGTCATAGTCTTTTGATTAAAATGCTGTTTAGTTTTAGTCATATTTTAGTCATCTGAATTGTTTTTAGTTTTAGTCCACTAAATATCTTACTCCCACATATTGACATTTTTGAATGTTTTATGAGACGTGCAGCAAGTGTATGTTAGCTTATGTCCCGCCGGTTCATACGCAACTACGCATCTAACCTCCTAACCACAAAGCAGATTCGTTCTGAAAGAATCTCTTCCCAAATCGTCCCTCCCTAACATTTTCATCTCTTTTTTTTATTCATGATGAAAATGTCAATAGATTTCCGTCATAGTTTTCGTCAGTGAAAAAAAGTAATTACATGCAGGTATTTTTAAAATATAAGTACAATGTAAAAACATGTATGTACACAATAAGTGCATTGTACCAAATGATTAATTTAAATGTAAGTACATAGTAGTTAAGGAGACTTAATATAAAGTGGGACCAAATGTCATTATGACATAAATGATTTGTCAACTAAATAAACACTGCTGTGCCCTAACTGTATTCCTAATATGAACAACAGGTGCACAAAATAACACAGTCAATGACAAGGTATGACACTATGACACACCCACAAACACGCTCAGACAGGATACATGCAGGGGAATGTAGTCGGGGAAGGTTACTCAGTGACTCATATCATAAAGAGGTTCACTGGGAAAAACCACAGACGGTTGACAGGTGACATCCTGTTACGATGATACAATAAGTGTAACATGATTGCAGCAGTTTGGCAGGAAGCTGACAAAGTCAAGGGGTAGGGAAAATCCAGTAGTAGGGCTGTGCGATATGGACAAAAAAAAACCTATCGCGATTTCTTTGATCAATTTTGCGATTTCGATTTTAATCACGATTTTGACACACACAGACATGCTTTACAGTCAAAAATGCATTCAGTGTGAATTTGAAACATATTTCCAAAAGAAAACCAATTAGAGCTTTATCAAAAAGCTGTAACATGTCTCTAGAATCCCGTGTCCAGGGATTTTTTTTGCCATGCATTGGTCATAGAGCTCTTTGTGGCGATGCCTCAGATGTTGAACTAGATTTGCGTTACGTTTGTATGCCCGCCCGGTCTGTTCTGTTCTCGTGCTCCATTTAGGCGCGCTGCATTCTGATTGGTTCGGATAGCATACTGCGGGAGGTCGGGGGCGCGGAAAATCGTGCTATAAAGCGATTTAGAAATCACGCACGCTCAAATCGAGATTTTATGACGATTTCGATTAATCGCACAACCCTATCCAGTAGTCACTCTACTGCAGTGCAGAGAACGATCTCTCCATGCCTGCTGACTGCATTCATGCAGATGTCAAATTAAGGACAAACATGAGACATACCATAAGTACAGCTTTACACTACGAGCCAGAATCAGAAACGAAACATGAAATGCTGCCAGACAACAAAGACACACAGCTCATAGTTCAGATAGGTGAAGCTTCTCTAACATGCTGAATTTTTACGAGTGCATGCCATTTACTGCATGTGACATTTAAAGAATATATTATAAAGCAGGGAACATTGCTATTAAATGCTTTTATTCAAATCCTTTGGTTGCTGAGGAAATTTTCCAACAAGTCATCTTGATACCCATAGTTCTGAATGAAACAAGGGTGATGTGATTAGCGTGAGAAGAGCAGATACTCACCTATTGCAGAGTTGACTCACAGCTCCATAGGAGTCACAGTAACAGGCCTGACAGCCGCCGGTTCCGTTGGTGAAATACGCATCGGCACATTCATCACAACGCTGCCCCGTGTATCCAGTTAGACATAAACACTGACCTGTGACAGAGTCGCAGGTATCTTGGTCCTCCGAACCCTCAGCACTACAGTTGCACTGATGTCCTGCAAGCGAGAGAGAAGAGAGATTAACATGTTAGCTTTTCTTTTCAATCTTGGTGACAATTTTTCTCAGCAGATGCTGAAATGAATCATGTGAGACAACATTGGTGTTTAAAAGAGAATTCAGTAAGGTTTTTTTGTTCTAATGTTTCACTGGTTCTTCTGTTTGTTCTTCATATACTGAAAACTATCAGCATGGATGCATAACATTTGTTTATTAATAGGATAGCTCACCCAAATATTAATTAAAATAAATAAAATTATATTGGCTTTATATCGGCCATCGGCTACCCTGCTTTCCAAGATATCGGCATCGGCTGTCAAAAAAAACAATATCGGTCAACCACTACTCTCAATTTCCCACTCTGATGTCATTATAGACCTGAACATATGACTTTCTTCTGCAAAACGCAGAGAAGTCTCAACAATGGTTTATGTTCCTTTATACAGTTAAGGCACATCTTAAAATGACTCCATATCACATGTGAGAGGAACAGACTGAAACTAAAATCACTGTTCAATGAAAATTTCACTTCACAGCTGTGGTCAACTCCTTTTTTGCACCATGGAAGAAATAAAGTCATACGTGTTTCAAAAGACATGAGGTTGAATAAAAGGTTATTTGTGGAGTAATTGTGCTTGTTGTTAGCCTATAGTTTTGCTTTTTTTTTTTTTATGTACTTAATGTTTTGTCAACTAGTCTGAACATTTGTTAAAAACACTATATAACGTACATTTCTGTCAGGACCACTATCGTCAAAGATGACTGACAATTAGCATATAGTTTGGATTGGCGGTATGGTTCCATTCTGGGCAAGAACTCCCTGCGCATCCATACAGCCTAGCACGGATGAGAGCAGGGAGAGCAGCGATAACCCCCCAGGGTAAACAGAACAGAACCAACATAAATGTATTGCAGATATTTTTTTATCAAGTTTACATTTGATGACAATGCTGAAGAAAAACACGGAAACATCACATTTTTTTAAATTATTCCTTTTTTTAAAAAATGGGTTTCTGTCAGGACCACTATCGTCAAAGATGATTGACAATTAGCATACAGTTTGGATTGGCGGTATGGTTCTGTTCTGGGCAAGAACTCCCTGCGCATCCATGCAGCCTAGCATGGATGAGAGCAGGGAGAGCAGCGATAACCCCCCCAAAACAAAACCATATGCTGATATCCCCCAACACAAACTGATAGCAAATCTCAAGCCTTAAGCATGTTGCCCTTAACCAATGACCAATCAAATATGTTGCCAAAACCCGCATAACCTGTAGCAACAATTCTGTTGCCTTTAACAGTTGACCAATGAATATGTTGCCAATACCTTAAAAGCTTAAGCAGCATTCTCAATAACACCAGCTAGACTTAAGAAAAACATGTTCCAATTCAACTACAGCTTTCAGAACAAGCATGTTCCGAATAACGACCGGATTGCTCTGGAACAAGCATGTTCCCAACAATACAGCTATAACTTAAGAACTAGCATGTTCCCAATACGACCAGGTAGCTTAAGAACTAGCATGTTCCCAATACGACCAGGTAGCTTAAGAACAAGCATGTTCCCAATATGACTACAGCTTTTAGAACAAGCATGTTCCAATAACAACCAGATAGCTCTGGGACAAGCGTGTTCCCAACAATACAGCTATAACTTAAGAACAAGCATGTTCCCAATATGACTACAGCTTTTAGAACAAGCATGTTCCAATAACAACCAGATAGCTCTGGGACAAGCGTGTTCCCAACAATACAGCTATAACTTAAGAACAAGCATGTTCCCAATATGACTACAGCTTTTAGAACAAGCATGTTCCAATAACAACCAGATAGCTCTGGGACAAGCGTGTTCCCAACAATACAGCTATAACTTAAGAACAAGCATGTTCCCAATATGACTACAGCTTTTAGAACAAGCATGTTCCAATAACAACCAGATAGCTCTGGGGCAACCGTGTTCCTGACAATACAACTATAACTTAACAAGCATGTTAGTTTAAGCGCAGCATATTGCAACGACAAGCGTGTTGCCAGTGACAACAGATAAGTAACGCACATGCATGAACTAGCACAAGCATTTAACTGAAAAAATAACTTAATGAGCCCAAGCAACACAGATAGCCAAAACTGCTGATACTACTGCGGGACCTTATATATGAATGCTTAGATAGGTGTCGTATTCCCATAGGTAGATGGGGATCAGCTGAGAGTCAGCTGATGCGAGCTTGACTAACGTGACCTGCCAGAACTAACGCTACGCTTGATATTATTGTTGCTATTATTAGTAACTCAGTCAAATGCTTGACACTGCAGAGCCCATGAGGGGCCAACCCTGAACGTACCTTTAATGCTTACAATATGAATTTTAGTGAGAGATTCAATCAGTAAGTGGTAGTGGTAAAGCACAATCTCATTTAGGCCCGTACACATTTTTTTATCATCGGAACCCGGTACAAAGAAAGTGGGAATTTTTTCAAAGCTGCAGGTTGCCACTTTCCAGTGCCGGCACAGTAGAGGAATAGCATGAACAGAAAATATGCTGCTGAAATCTCTCTCAAAGAAACTTTATGAGCAAAACATTATAATTCAAGTAGCGCACCTAATGGAAATTATATGGAAAGTGCACATAGCTAGTGGGGCGACTGCACCTCCAGGGGTGCCACTGAGAACACACTAAAATACAGCAGCTTGATGAATACAGCCTGTGCTTGGCCACTGCCTTCAAGGACTATTTCAAGGAATGTTTTGTAGGATTTAGAGAGGACTTGAGCCTGGCCCGTCCTGTTATCAGCTCTCGCAGTACAAGCTGTTCTCTCCTGTGTACGTCAACACCTCTGTAAACAGTTTTTTGATATAAAAACAGTCTGCTCAGTAACTCAAAAGCCTCCAGCACCTACAGCAGCAGTAACCTTACACATCTAATACGATCAGCAATATTACAGAGGTCACCGAGAGGCTGTCAGCAAAATTATTTGCTCCCAGAAGTCGAAAACAGAGCAGAACAAAGAAGCCTCGTTATTAAAGCACCATTCTTCTGACTGTGCTGTAATATTAGCGTGCTGTGTAGCAAGTAACCCCGGAGCTTATCTGATGAGAAACTATATCACATACATGCAGTGTTCAAATATAGTGTATCTGTGTTTTTTTCTGGGTAAAAAGGGAGCAGGTCCTTTCTCCCAGAGGAAAAGCACAGTAGCTGTAATTTGCGATGATGATAGTTTCAATGAGATGTGTGTAAGAGGAAAAGGCATGGTAAGGAAAAAAATTACAGATAAAAGATTAATTTTTTGATTTGCTCTTTGTACAGCCTACCTGACAAAATGCCAAAGGCAAGCCCTGGATCACTAGAAAAATCTTAAGAACCACATTTTGATGGGTTGAAATAACACTGCTCCATAAGGGAGCACATCTGGTGGGTACTAAATTCAGAAAACACTCCTTTTCTTCTGGCTATTTAACATACTGCATGCATAAATCCAGAGGGGGCCATTCTTGCAGCACGTTATTGTTTTACAGTGACCTCCCATCGGACCTGCGAGTGTGAACACGTGAAAAAACATACACACATGTGCACTGACGCAGTGAGAGAAATGGAACGCTGTGATATATTTAGCAGAAGCTCTCAGCGTGTACAGTTCCCATAGCTGACTGGGGGCAATCTGATCTGAATCAGAGGTGACCTTGCTGAAGATCAGATTACACAATAGGAGAGCTCTGTCAGACAAAGTCAAAAAGAAAACATTTTACTTGTCTCTTGGACAATATTGGAACAATTACAAGCATCCATCTGTCTTGTATCATCTTACAAGATTCACTCCTAGCCTACTTCCCACAGTCCCGTGAGGGCAGGCATCATTTAATAGAAATGCAGATACACTACCAGTCAAAAGTTTGAGGTTAGTGTGTTTTTTTTTTGTACTAATGCAAGGTTGCGTTAAGGATAGGGGTGCTCCGATAGATCGGCTACCGATCATTTAAATTCTTGCCAGTGTTTAACCATTCAGCGCTCGCGCGCTCTCCTGGAGACAGTACGCTCATGCACACTCGCAGCGCACACACATATTGCCAGGTTCACATTACTCTGTTTGCAGTGCGTATGCAGTGCAATCGGTGATCGGTGATCGGCCTCAAAAATCCTGATCGGAGCACCCCTAATTAAGGACACATTGAATTTATCAAAAAATTACAGTTACAACATATACATAGTTACAAGAGATGTTTATTTCCAATAAATGCTGTTCTTTTGAAATGACTATTCATCAAAAGAATCCTGGGAGAAAAATGCATAATCATTTCCCAAAAAATATTAATCAGCACAACTGTTTTAAGCATTAATAATAAGAAACGAGCACCAAATCAGCAAAACAGAATGATTTCTGAAGTATCATGTTAAACTGACGACTGAAGTAATGGCTGCTGAAAATTCAGCTTTGCCATCACAGGAATAAATTGCATTTTAAAATATATATTTGTATTGTAATAATATATAACATAATATTTTTTACTGTATTTTTTATCAAATAATTGCAGATTTGTTGAGCATAACAGACATCTTTTAAAAAACTCCTTTTGAATGGTAGTGTGATGGTCTATATGGACAAAATGATGGAAGAGCCTGTCTGCTTGACACAATCATAAACATGCTGAGACAAGACTTTAAGTGTTTGGGGTAGGACATTGACAAGGTGATCCTCCCTTATTGAGTGTCGATTGAAAATGCAGGAAATGAAGTCAGCTCAAGAAACCTGACAATGAGGTATTGGCTTTCTTTATACAAACATGTAACGGTCACAGCTTTGTTATGGTTGAATAAGGATTAAAGTTTTTGTTTACTGGCTACATATTTTACAAGGCTGGGAGCAATGACCTAAATTGACCTTTGACACCTTCTTGAGAATTCCTGCTCCAAATATTGAGTAGATTTAAATATCTGCACAAGGGTCTCACTGTTGCAATATAGATAGACATCAAGTTACCATTTTTAACGCCTTAATGGCAG